TGTCAAAAGCTAAAAGGGTCTTCTTAAACCATAAAACCCCAAAAATCATGCATGATCCTACGCAGACGCTACAAGTTGAAGAAAAGTCATAACGTGAGCCATTCGTTTAATTAGCCACCTAATGAATACAGCTGTCATGTTTTAATGTAAGAAAAGTGTCATGTCTTAAAATACTGAGTGCAATTTATTAACCTGAATTACCTGTTACTCACAGTAAATTGATTGCTCTGACTTAGCTTTTTTCTTTTTTTTTTTTTGAAATTACAGTCCAGTATCCAAGTTTAACTAACAAATTTCCCTTTGATTTGACTTGCTGTGCAAAGATTTGTGGTTCTGAGTTATAAATTAAACAAACAACCATTTACGAAGATGAACCATTTCAAATGCTGTTGAGCAACATCTTGTGTTTTACCAAGCCTAGGGAGAATGAAGAAAACATTGTTTTCTTTCAAAACTTTTCATCAGCTTCTATTGTTTTTATGTTGAGCAAATTATGCTAATTTTCTGTCTTTACTAACAATCACACGAATATTTCTACTAGTGCTGTCAATCGGTTAAAAAAATTACTAATTCAACGCATATTTTTCTGAAATGAATTGAGATTAATCATGATCAAACCCACCTAACGTTAAAGTTTTTAAATATACTTTTATATTGCAATAATTTCACATTCAATCTTCAAATTAATGCAGAAAGAAAAAAGACAGAATATTTTTTAATATTTGTTTAATGGCACATTTTTTTATGACTGGGAGCAAGTATCACTGATACCAATACTACTTCTGGCTCTAGGAAATTGTTATTTCCCCCCCCTAATATTTAACCATTGACTGAAATTTAATAAAGTTTTCAAACACTAAATTCTAAATTAAATATAGATGAATATAGATGAATCCTTAAAGCTACTAAAGTTATTGATTTCCTCTTTTTTCTTTTGTTCTTTGATTAAGACATCACAGTAGCTGGGTTATATGTTATTCAGTTGCTATTACTTTAAGAGCTGCCGCTGCCCAATGTGATGCGGATCTGACACGCATGCTTGTTGTTTTATTCGCGCTTTACTATGAAATGTTACAGGCTACAGCGCGCCCCGCCATATGCAATTGAAAAGCACACGCTTCGAGAACAGTATAACGGCTGACAGGACAGGAAAACTCATTTTTACTGACATACTGCATGGCCTGAAACATCTCATCTGGCCGCAGTTCACTATTGTTCTACTGAAGCTCCTCTGTGCTCGATTGACTAGCGCCTGGCGCTGAGGCGAAGTAGAGAGCGCATGGCCAAGTAGTGGTGAGCTCCAAAACTGTGCGTGAGTGTGTGTGTGTGGATGTGGATGAGGGAAATGGAATAGTATGTGATAGTATGCAACCTTTATTATTATTATCTTTCTCTGGTGTACGTGTATAGATTAGTTCACGTGATGATAGCAGTAAATGTCAGTATCATATGCTCATACTGATTTGAAGCATTTGAAGGTGGAGAGTGTTTCCAGAGACGTTGAATGTAAGTGTGAAAAAAGTGGTCATCACATGGTTTCATATATTCCAGATCCCGATTTCTGGATATTCTTTAGCTGGATTGCATTTACAACTGCATTCTATTGTGCCTCAGGTGTGATCAGATAAAGACCTAAAACATTGATGGGATATTGTTTATTAAATGTTTATTAAAGTTACTTTAAGTGTTACACTCTGTTTTTCTATTTTTACTGACGTATAAAAATAGAGCATGACAGAACATTAACAACCCACTTTGTCAAAGTGGTGGATAATTATTATATGTAGCACAATCTTTGTACTACAAATTACTTGTATGCAGATTATCTAATGTGGTTAGAATTTGTAATCTGATCACGTAAGAAAAATAGCTGCAAAGTGTAGGCAGAGAGAACGGAAACATAAGAAAGAGAAGTAGGGGTAAAGTTTTCAAATGTGGTCTGAGCGATGCATTTACACTTGGGCAAGACTCCTGAGGTTTCAGTGACTGGTTATCTGATTAGTTAATAAATTAGCCCTAATTGTGGTAAAGACAGTAAGTGAAAAAATGTTAAAATATAGAGGAGACCATGCAAATGAGAACATAGAGATGAACAACGCAAACTCTTGTCTGTAGAGCATTGAGTAATTCATTTTTAGTTTCCCGTTTGATTTTTTCTTCCTCTTGCCTTTACTGCCTTCTCATCCTTTGTGATTTTCTGTATGGTAAAATAAATTCAGGGCTGCTTTTGGAGAGTGTCAATGCTATTAAATTAATAATCACATATATTAAATGGATGAACAATGCGTTTCATTTAATAAAACCAAATGCTTTGCCCAGGCATTGATTTATTGTGTTTTCCTTGAGAAACACAATAAATTTAATGACCATGAGAAATCATCATTAACATGTTCTGTTCCAGTGTTTATCAGAAACCTTGATAGATATTTAAACAGCTCTATTCAGGCTTTGCTATATGTGAAGCGCTTGAAGAGAAAAACATTTCTCCACTGGCTAAAGGTCTGTTACCTTTAGAATTTCAGAGATTCACATTGAGTCATGAGTTCATTCCATAGCAGAAACAGAAGAGTGTTTTTCTATAATGCAGTGTTTATCATCTCTGTTGTGGAGATTAGGATGCTGGGCTGGTCTTGGGCGTCCTGAGAGGGGTCTGAAGGGTCAGACTGGAGGGCCATGTGATCGATGAAGCAGGCAGCGAGGAGACAGAAGGCTTGTCTGGAATCAGATGAAGAAGCCTCTCACTCAATATCAACCACACAAGATGCATTAAAAAAATTACTGTGAAAAGTTACACTGTTGGAGAGACAGAAATAGAGTGAGAGGGAGCAACGCGGCGTTTAGGTCATTTTTAAGGCATATTAATGAAGACGACCATTTTTAGACAGAAATGGCAATTAAATGAGTCACATTTGGCAATGAATAAGGGATAAAATTATATAAATTTCAGCATTTTTTCCTCATACAGTGCCTGGACAGTCTGACAGTTTAATAATGGTTTTGCAAGACCCTTAAAATGGTAAATGTGAAACATTTTTCAGTGTCGTTTTTTCACATTTTTACACAAGTTATGTATATCACACATATGCCACAGTTGTCTGAAGCCATTTTTTTTTTTGCAAATGATCTCAGTTGGATAGACACACTCCGTATGGCTTTCTGCACATCTTGTCATCATCTTCTACAAAGCTTGACAAAACTATGCAACAACACATGCCATATGTCAGAACAGAAACAGTCTTTCTTCACCAAGACTTATTTTTCTGTTTGCAAATGAGACATTTCACCAAACAGTTAGGGTGCATTTGATTACGGAGATTCTCCAACCTCACAATTGAAATCTTGAACTCAGTTCATTGCATTGATTGGAGGACAAAACCGAACTAAAAACGTATTTTTGCTCCAAGCATCAGCCTTTCTTTGGTGGTGACACGGCGTGACGAACCTTTAAAAAGAGTAGATATTTGATGTGCAGTTGTGTGTTGCACGGTTACCGGCGAGGATTGAGATTGTGGGGTGTCAGAGTGAGATTTTCAGTCTGTTAAGAGGTATCGGTGTGGAATTGTGCTGCGAGGCTTTCAGTTAAGTACACAAATCCTTTAGATTAATCCAAAAGCAGTTATCAAGCTCTCTGACAAGGCCATTATGAGACCTTCTCACAGAAATTGTGCTTTCCTCTGCCTCTTTATGGTCTCTTTGCCACATGTCAGGTTCTCACGTCTTGGTGACTTGAAAGTTTAAAACTGGAATTATTTACGAGGCCAACCTTAAAACACATTGCAATAGACGCATATTATCCCTGCTGAGGTAATGAAGTGGAAGCAATAGAAGGAAGGGAAAGAGAAAATCTCAAAAGATCTGAAGATTGAAAGAGATGAAACACACAAAAGGCAAGGTAAATGGAGAAGAGATCTGAATCGAAAAGAGAGAGACAGAGAGAATAGAGTGTTGGCAGATTGAAGTGTACTGGGCATTCGATAGCAAGATAATATACTCTAAAGGTCAGAGTGGTGCCAAGCAGGATTGATTCAGCAAGCTATACTTGACACGAGCCTCAGCACTCACTGAAATAATGTGTCTGTGGCAAATCAAGGCCATGTCTACAAAGTCATCATGCTGACATCAAGCCACCTTAGTGCCAGGGAAGCACAACCTGCGGGACACTCCAGGCGATGTGCTTTCACAGGCTGGCTCGCCTAAAAGTAGTTCAACCTGGTCTTGGAAAAGTGTCAGCGTTTCCTGCAGATTGCAGGATAATAGGGCAGATAATAGGCTAAACTGATCCTTGATCAGAACAAGCAAGGTAATTCTCAACCACTTTCTGTTTCCCCGCAGTGCTGCTGTTGGGGATTTTCCTGTACACACGCTGGCGGAGCTATAAGGGGCTGAAGGAGGGCGTATATCACGTGTCTGCGCACCATGACGGATGGGAGGACATTCGAGAGAACGTGCTCAACTACGACGAGGAGGGCGGCGGGGAGGAGGATCAGGTGAACGCATGACTTCTGTTTCAAAATTGATTTCAGATCACAGGTCAGAGAATCCGACGCCTGCTTCCGACACAGGAGGACAAGCGAGCACTCAAAGTTACTATGACAACTTGTACAGGTTGTCATGCTTCCCCGTCGCAGCGAGGCACCCTTGTCAGTTTATCTCTATGACAACCTCTAACATTTAAAAAATGCACACTGATGTCGATGACAAGAGGCTTCACTGAGTGCAGAGAGAAAGTGTGACAACTCGTTTTGTTCGAAATGTGGCTTTTTATTTCCAGAAACCCACCGAATAAGAGGTTTGGGGTGTTTGATGTAACCGCCCGCTCCTCTGATCTATCTGAAGTATGTGGGTGTAGATATGTTGCAGGATCTTTTATTCTCATATCTGCCGTGTGTAAAATCCTGTTACATGATTATCAGATGCATAGTGGTGCTCTGATACTCTCCATCTGATGAGGCTTCACACATCTTCCTCATCATGTAATCAATTACGCCCACACCCGTGTCACACACACCTCCCTCTCTGTCTCTCTTTCTCCTCCTCCTCTTCGTCTATTTTTTCCTCAAGGGGCATTATATGTTTATCTTCCTCCCCCGAGAGCTGCACCGCTAAATAACGAGAGGAATCATCCTCGGTGGAATGGGATTAATGTTGACGCTCAATGGGAGAAGGGGACCGGTGTCTTGTTTTGTTGCGTTGACTGAGTGTGTAATGCCGGTCTGTGCTCTTCACTGCGTCTGTCAGGATTCTTCCTCTCAGGTGCAGGAAGACGCACACAAAGGTGTTAATCAGAATGCGGCGTTAGCAGCTTGAATCCGGATTAATGCCATTAACAGTTTGGGGGATAATAAATTACATGATGAAGAAGTACAGACAAGCAGCTTATTTTGTCAGTGAGCTCGGACTTATTATTCGTAGCAGTTTTTGTGGCAGACGTTGTTGTTGTCATTACACCAGTTCCTAAACGTAATGGCACATTATGTAATGCTAATGATCTTGTTATTTGTCAGCACTTTATGCATTTCATTTCCCCCTCTCTCGCTCTCCTTCAGAACGCCTATGACATGGCAGAGCTCCAGAAGTCCCTGCAGCCCAGCCCGGCCCAGTCGGTGCAGTACAGCCGGTCGCGAGCCCTCCACCACCACCCTCCCTCCCAGCAGCAACAGCAACACTTTTGCCAGCCTGACCCCCCCTCCAGAGCGGGCACGGCCACCACCACCTCCTCGGGAACAGCCACCATCCGAAGGGACGTACCCCCCTGCCGCTCTCCGGCTCAAGGCCAGACTGCAAATCCCAGCCAAGCGGCCCAGCTGGCCCGCAAGAGCTTGTCGTTCTCCAGCCAGGACCTGGCTCGCTACCTGTGTGAAATTATCCGTGATGCCGACCAGCACCCGGAGACGGCGCCCTTCGACTCGCTGCAGGTCTTCTCCACCGAGGGGGGTGGGTCGCTGGCCGGGTCACTGAGTTCCTTCAGCTCCGCTGGGCTGGAAGAGGGAACGGCGGCGGGTCACGAGTGTTTGAAAGAGTGGGGGCCGCGCTTCGAGAAGCTGAAAGCCCTCTACGAGCGGGCCGAGGGCAGTGACCTCTAAGGAACTGCCGGGAAGAGTTCCTGCAGCGTGAGGAGAGGAGGGAGACCACCAAAGACTTGTCTAAAAACCAGAGGGATTTTTCTTATGCCGAAAATTCCTACGCTTTGGCTTTCTCTGGATGCATTACTTCATGCTAGACACTCTCTCTGCCTATGGAGGTGGGTGACATTTGGGACTCTCAATGAGTAGCAAATGGGAAGTGCTAATCCAGGACACCGCAAATTGTGGTCATGGCAGATTTTAAGCCCAGAACGGGCATCTTTATTAAAGTGATTTGCAGATGACAATGATTTTAGTGGAACCATTTGTTGTCTTTGTGACTATCACTGGCGGAGCGCTTTGGACGTGTTCTATATGTCTGTATGTTCTATATGTTCTTAAATAAAAGAAAGACGGCAAGAAAAATAAACTGCTGTGCTCAGATGCGACTAGGAAGGGGTTTGTCCTCCTCCTTCACGGGCCGCATTCTGAAATCAGTTCACCACTTGTTCTGTCAGGGTGGCCACTTGTGTTCATCAATCATAACGTCATACTTGGATACTGTTGATTTTTTTCCTATTTGCTCAGCCCTCCGCTTAGATTCTATTCACTCGGATGCGAGGATGAAAGAGGCAGTCTGCGGGAAAAAAAGACCAATAAAAACTGAAGATGAGTGAAAAACACTGAGGAAAATGAAACAGAAAGCAGCCTTATTGTTTGGCATTTTAGGAGACATTCCTTGGGAATACAAATTGTGTCCTCTCTTTCTAGCCAAAAAGGAGCGAAGGAACGGCTGGAATAAAAATGTGGCTGAGGCACAAGACTGAGTGGCTGGCATGAGATGGAAGTTTTCTGTAGCTGAAAACTATCGAAAACTCTCTTGGCTCTCACGGTTTGCTGAGCGGTAGCAATCAGAGTCTGCCAAGCTAAAGAATAGCCATTAAGACAAATGAACGAATGTGTGTGTTGTTCCATGTGATCAACTCAAACGTGATATCGAGCTCTGCTGGAGGAGCTTTCAGCACTGGAGTGAGCTTACAGTCCAGTTTGCTTCCTTTCGAAAGTATTGTATTATTAACCAAACCAGCTTACTCAACTGTATTGTCATTTCCTGTTCTACTATAAATAACCGCTTGTATCCCATCACATTATTCGGCACTGCAGTGAAAGAAATGGGCCTCGGCACCAGGTGCATTCTGGGAATGGCGGGCCAGCGGTTTCAGACCCTGAGCACCTCCCATGTAACATGTTTAATGGGCTTGTGAACGCATGTGGTGAGGCTGCATGGGGTGAAGGAAAAGCAAGGCAAGCTTGTGTGTGCGCAAATGGAATAACTAAAAGTCTCCCCCAGTGAGGCCTCAAATGCCAACCTTGTATTTTATGCATTTTAAGGCAATGTTTTTTGCCCTCCTTTTATCATTTCGGTTAATTTTTTTTCCGGAGAATGCCGTATGTGGAGCATGACAGGCTGGCTGAGGAGAGTGGAGCGAGTAGGAGTGTGTTAAAAGACATCAGAGTGCTAATCCTAATGTGAACTGATCGCTCACTGTCATGCTGTGAACCAAAGGATCATGGGAGTTGGAAAACTTGATGGAGAAGTCGTCACTCTTATTACGGATCTCAAAAAGTGCCAATATTTCCAAAGGCAGCAACAAGAGTATAAAAAAGGTTTCCAAGTCGAAGCGAAGAAATATAGCTGGAAGTGCAATGCTTGCTATTTCACTGAGTTAAAAAGAGGCCAACGGGATTGGCGCTTGGAGTCATCCTTGTAAGGGGATTGGGGAGGATCCAGTGCGAGGTGAGAGTATTCATCAATGAAGCATGATGGGCCATGTCTTTGAATCACATAAATCCTTATCTTACAAAACCAATTCCTCTGCAATTTTGAACCAAGGCCACCTGTTTATTTGTGTGGTGAATATATACAGTACTCTATTTTGTGAAACAATGTTTTTACCTCATTTGTGCATATCAAAACAAAGTAATTGATTTTTTAAAATACATATAAAGGGATCTAATTCTGTTTAAAGCTTGTTTTTTCATGTATTGTTTAATCCTTTAAGTTGGTAAAAGTATCTTGACATTTTGTATTTGCATCCTTTAAAATTGTTTTTTCTTTCTCAATAAATGGATTTCTTCTGTTACGGCTTCAATTATACTTGAATACCACTGTTAAATACTGCTACATTCAAATGAAACAGCGGGGTTTTAAGTCTCTTGATGAATAAGTGGCCTATTTTATGTGGAAATGGAGCTGTAATTAGTTTGGGATAATGCAGAACATGAAATGAGAGCAGCCTAAAATCTCTGACCTGTATTTGTCAAAATGCCTTTGTGATTTGACTTCAAATGACAGAAGTCCTTTTGTAGTAACAGATCTGCAGCATCCACCATTCAAATCTGCTTTAATACAAAAATGGAAACGAACACTGAACATCCAAAAACAAATCAACACTTTCGACACAAATGGGAACAATCCATCTGCGTGAAATACCACAGTAACAAACTAGTGCAATGAGCCGTACCAAATAACTCTTACAGTTAAACAATGTCAGCATATGAAATCAAAGCACACAGCTCCATAAAGATCATCGCCTGAGGAACACTGTGTTGTGACAGAGATGTTGTGTGAAGCAAAGGTTTACATGAAAGTCGTCTGACAGGTAAGATAACTAATTCACCATATTATAATACAATCACAGAATGTCACAGAGGAGCCCTCATGCTACAAAACTAATTTACAGAAAAGAAACACCATGTTTATCTTTATATTCATGTTTATATTCAAAACGGTTTTGTACCTCAGTACAAAGATATTCATCCAATATCCTGGGGAAGAAAAAACAGCAGCAAAGATTGAAGGTAGGTAAATTTTGGTAGCACTTGAGGCCACTCATTTGAAGGTCTTTTGAATGCACGAGTCGCTAGCGAAGCAGAGCTTATCCAAAAATGGAAAGGCACTTTCATACACTAAAGGCTCTTCCTTTAGAGCTTAAGATGGAAAAATTAGTATCATAACATTGTTGACCGTTCAATATTTTTAACCACGTTTTAAAAAGACTCAAACTGAATATTTCAACCGAACTACAACTTCACAATTCAGGATTAAGGCAATGTGATGGGATATGTCTAACCTTTAAGAACACTTCAGCTGTTCAACCTAAAACATACTAAATTTAATGTCCCTGTTTACAATGCCAAATGTCTAAATCCTTTTTAACCATCTATAGTGTCAGTGATGGCCTCCTACTTACACAAGTAATGCACAGAACATATACAGTCGAGTCCAAAAGTAGGTCAAAGTAAATTTTGCGACATTTATTCTTAGGAGTATTTATGGCACTTTCTTTATGCCCATGAGTAAGGCTGGTTCTTCAGATTTTTTTTTTTTTACACAGCCAAACAGCAGGATGTAGCCCAACTTGACACAGTTTGGCAGATTTAAAGACAACACTGCCACAGTCACTAATTAGCCCAAACTGCTCTTGTGAATTCCAGTTACAATGCATTGTTACCCATTGCTATTTCCTCATTTGATTTTGTTGGAAGTGTGACAGGAATGAGGCTGTGAAAGCAGTTGTTGCGACTTTAGTTCACATTGTGTGAGAAAGAGCACAAATGTGTGTTTGGTGGAAGGGCACGAGTCGAAAGAGATGTGATGATCAGAGAGAGAGAGTGAGGAGGTGCGACAGACTGTGAGAAAAAGAGCTTTTCCTCCCATCTCTCCATGTTAAACTTGAGCTCCTGTTGCGGCAGACCGGCTCAGAGCAGATTTACACACAAACACACACCAAATCATTGAGTGTGCTGGCTCAATCAGGCATCTCTCCAATCTCTCTCATGCACATAGCCGCACACACACACACACACACACACACACCGAACTACAACTTCACAATTCAGGATTAAGGCAATGTGATGGGATATGTCTAACCTTTAAGAACACTTCAGCTGTTCAACCTAAAACATACTAAATTTAATGTCCCTGTTTACAATGCCAAATGTCTAAATCCTTTTTAACCATCTATAGTGTCAGTGATGGCCTCCTACTTACACAAGTAATGCACAGAACATATACAGTCGAGTCCAAAAGTAGGTCAAAGTAAATTTTGCGACATTTATTCTTAGGAGTATTTATGGCACTTTCTTTATGCCCATGAGTAAGGCTGGTTCTTCAGATTTTTTTTTTTTTACACAGCCAAACAGCAGGATGTAGCCCAACTTGACACAGTTTGGCAGATTTAAAGACAACACTGCCACAGTCACTAATTAGCCCAAACTGCTCTTGTGAATTCCAGTTACAATGCATTGTTACCCATTGCTATTTCCTCATTTGATTTTGTTGGAAGTGTGACAGGAATGAGGCTGTGAAAGCAGTTGTTGCGACTTTAGTTCACATTGTGTGAGAAAGAGCACAAATGTGTGTTTGGTGGAAGGGCACGAGTCGAAAGAGATGTGATGATCAGAGAGAGAGAGTGAGGAGGTGCGACAGACTGTGAGAAAAAGAGCTTTTCCTCCCATCTCTCCATGTTAAACTTGAGCTCCTGTTGCGGCAGACCGGCTCAGAGCAGATTTACACACAAACACACACCAAATCATTGAGTGTCCTGGCTCAATCAGGCATCTCTCCAATCTCTCTCATGCACATAGCCGCACACACACACACACACACACACCTGCTACTATCACACACTCATTGAACATTCCAGATGGGGCGTTCATCCATCCAGTGAAGGTGGGCGACTGCTGTTGAGGAATGAGCATTACGGACCGTTCTCAGCTTTGTTTTTCTTCTTGAGTTTCTTGAGTTTGTACACGTGAAACGTCTTGTTTTTGAACACTGGTGTGAAGAGGGTTGAATACGGAGGCATGTCGGTCTTAATGGCCTCACAAAAACGCGGGTGAGTCGCCGGGATGAGGTCCGGCTCGTTTTCACCTGGGCCGTCCATGATCTGTAATAAATACACATACACAAATCAGTTTTGAAACGGTGCTTCTTTTCCAATAAGCTGATATTTCTCTACAGTGAAAAATACAGGGCATATTCTCAGATGAAGAAGAGTCTCAGAAGCCTTCTTTTAAAGAGCATTCCATTTCTTTATCTTTCAGATCTTAGAGAAATTGTGCCCTGAGGTTTTTTAAACATTTACTTTGAGATATATTCAAGCTATTTTCAGCTGGAGCTTTTTGCCAGGATGTGGGGGAGATGTTTTTTTCTTCTTCTTTTTTTAAAGCTGACGTGTGCACAGACATTACACAAAGTGCTGCAGCTTAGAAGTAGGAAATTTTGCTTTTGTCAGATATTATGCACAACTGTAATCAACTACAAAAGAACAATCAAGCTACCCAAGCAAAAAAAAATAAAAAAATAAAAATAAAGTATTTAATAACAATGAACTGTGGGTGAGTGAGAACAAGATGATGTGACAAAATGAAAAATGTAAGAATCAACTTTACACAAAACAGTTATAGAAATTTTATGGGAGAAATGAAAACACCTCAGAGAGCTGAAGAGATTTCTAATATAAAAATAATCAGTACCAGTGAGCTTAGCATCTAACCCAACTGATATTTGTTTAAAGCCACGTGAAGGATTCAGTAAAGGGCAAAGTTGTTCGTTTTAGCTGCGGAAAAAAAAATCTCTGGTTCTTGCAGAGAAACTTTCATTTAAATGGAACGAGTGTGGTGTGTGTGTGTGGGCATGAACTGGAGATGCTGTGTGTGACCTACATGTCCGTTTGCCAGGTCGAGCAGGTCCCTCAGCCTACAACCACGGCTGTGTCTGCGCTCGTAGCAGATGCTGTCCTCCAGTACGATGTAGTCCACTCCAACCGAACAGAGAACTTTATGAACCTCCTCAGCAGACTGACGCGCATAGATCTGATATACCTGCAGGGAACGAAAAGGGCAAAGATGGGAGAAAGATACATATTAGGTGCTGTAGCTTAGAGGTCAAAGGCTGCAGATTCATTGTTTGTGTGGTAAAAATGTACTGCAAGGTGCTCCAGGAAAAAAGTCTCTAAATGAAGGATAACAGGACATCAAAGTAGTTTGGAGTTTTGAATGACAAACTATGATGAAAATCTATTGACCTTTTCTTCAATGGCTAAAAACGAGAAAAAAAAAATTAGGGAGGGAGATTCAATCAAAACTAAGGCCATGTCCACACGTACACAGGTATTTTTTATAAACAGAGTTTTTCCTTCTGTTTTAAAAAAAATCTCCAAGAGCATGCCAAGCCAACAGGTGGCGATATAATCTCAACCGTAAAGCCATGTTGGCCAATCAGAAGCCTGAAAAAGTCTCCAGTAGGCGGAGATAACAGCGCAGGCTCCGACGTCACAAGCCAAAAACTCCGGTTTCGCTGTCTACACGATAACACTGAAACAGGAGTTTTTGAAAATCTTCACCCTGGCAGGCGTTTTCCAAAATGTTCGGTTTCAGTGAACTGGTGCTGCGTTTGCGTGTGGACGAATGGCCTAACCGCGTAGAAAAAGCTGCGGTTTTAAAAATAATCACGTCCGTGTGGACAGGGCCTAATACTCCTGTATGGTAGGGAGGTTAGATACGCACCTTCGAATTGTAAAGTACTAATCTACTTGGCGGGAAAAAGTCAGCAGACACTTGCAGAATGTCTCATTAAATGAACAAAAATTTCAATGTTTCAGAGAAAGAAAAGAGCAGAGTAGACATGGATAAATTTGAAAAATTGTGACAACTCGAAAGTGAACTTAGCGGTCTTAAATGAACATAAACAGTTGGGAGAATATCAGATGGGTATCAGTATATTGGACCTGTGCATTAGGTCCTAAAGTGACAGCAATTTTAGAGAAATGCTTAATGCATTAACTAAACTAATGCATTTATTTAATTAATATAACTAAAACCGTTAGATCTTATGATATTTAGCTAGACTAAAACTAGATTACAACAAAAACAAGCCACTGAAAAGTGGTGTTTTAATCTAAAGACTATGACTAAAAATAAGTCCAAATTTGCTGTCAGAATTAACACTGATTTGGATGAACATTGGTTTGGCACATGCTAATTATGTCACTGTTGGAAAGGCCAAGCTGCAGAAATACCACTGATGCACTGTAAGGCACTTATTAATAAACATGTTATTAAACATTTGTGCATTAAAAGAAGGCATTTAAACAGTCATTTTTTTGCCGTTGTTATAATAGATCAAGCAGAAACACAGCAAGCTGAAAAAATGTTAGAGTAGTGCGTACACAGTTTCACATACCATTAAATATATATTTACAGTATTTCAATTAATGGAGCAATATGGCAGCATAATTGAGGACGCTATGTTAAGGTTTGACATTTCCGTATATCACATGGAGATGCAGTTCAACGTGGCAGAAAGGCTGCGGTAAACTCAGTGGAAGAGTTTTCATGCCCTTTTTATTAGCAGATGTCAACAGACTATCACAACTAAAGCTCATTTTCTCATGAGCCACAGATGCATACTATACAGAGAAGAGAACAGAACACTCTGATGAAATCCATGGCAAACGACCAAACAACATTACTGTTACAAGAATCACCAACCTAAGAAGCCTCACAAGAACATTGGACAATGAATTATGGATTCATAATATATTTGCTGATATGATGTATAGGTATTTATGGACAATTTTCCTTGACAAAATGTAAATAAATATAAAACATTTTGTATGGATATAAAAAAAATCATTGCAGTGCATTTATGTTGCATTTTCTCAAATGAGGCAATAAGCACCTCATCACCTCAGTCTGATGAGAAAATAATCAACATTGCAAATATAAAATATTATGCAATATGAACTACAATAATGTTCAAAGCAATATGCACTTTGCCTCCTTGAGCTCACTGTTTCAGGAAAGCTGCCACCTCTTGCTGTGACTGGCTGATCACAATGTCTTTCTGTCCACGCGTTAATGCCCACCTCTCATGCTTGTGATAGGTCCACAAATCATCATAAATCGGTATAATTGGTGGAAATGAATGGACTAATTACAAGTACACATCTCACCAACTCGGATATTATCACTTTATCATCACGCCATGTGTGAATTGAAAGCAATGAAACACGATCATGACAGAGCCAGTTATTAACTAGCATTCAGCTTAGTTAAATTAAAGCAGCATGCTACTCTCAACTCTTTCATTTAAAACTCAGTTTAATTTAAAACTCCACAGTAAGAAATAAAAAAAATACACACAGTATGCTTATTATGGTATTGTTGTTATTAGCGGTGTGTAGCAAAGCCAGTATTTCTGTATGTGTTGCACGAGCAAAATGATTTGCATTTATATTCAGAAAAAACAAATGTGGGTGATTACATTGTAAGTCTGCCCAAACTATATGAAAACCAATTTAATGTAATCCTGTGCCTTTCAAAGTTAACATATACCAAATATGCCATCTTATGAATCATACAATTATTTTTATTACAAAACATCTGTAAATAAAATGTAATTAAAAGAATAACACCAAATTGTAAATAAACTGAATATTTTTTGGTAAAGAACATTGATGCCATTTGTATGTGGGACGGGTATGACATTTTCCCACCACTTCCCAACCATGACTTTTGAAAGCCATTAAAAAAATAGCTTGTGGAGCCTATGCACAACACACAGAAAAAGCATTTCTAAATTTTCTAAGCATTTCTAAGTTTTTTTCCATAAGTATTTTTCCCATTCATTTTACCCATTAGGATGTTTTAAAATGTCTTCATTAAAGAGTTATAAGCCATGAACCAAACAAACCAGCTTTGAGGAGAATCACAACATTACCAAACTTCAATTTGAAGTAAAAAGTCTCTGAAAATCAGATAAAAAGACAAAGGTACAAGAACTACAATCCCATGAAGCGCTGCGAATGCCAATTTGAATCAAATTAAACAATGGAGAAATATAAAACTATTTATTTAAAGATGTTTTAGAGAGACTTTACACTCATTATTGTGTTGTTTTCACTATTGTAATTTTAGTTATCTAAAATCCCATCTGTTATCCAAGACGAATACAGAATAACTGCATCTAACAAGTTCAGTAAATTGTTGAACTCCTATAGTTGTTATTTTTGAAGCAATATGAAGCAGTTTAAAAATGCATAAAAATGGATTAAAGTTTTCTTGACTTTAATATAAACATGAACAAGTATTATAGTATTGGTTACTTTATAGTTCTTTATTAAAGTGTAAGGTAAATTTGTTAAGGTGCATCTAACTGGGAAACAGCGTAAACATCAAACTGAACCGGTACATGAATTTATATTTTGCTATTATAAAACTCAAATGCAGAGGGGACTTCTTCAAGCCTCTTCATTTTAAAGTCCTCACACACACCCTTGCAACCTCTCGGCATGTCTCCATTTGGAGAACCTCTGCTTTAATGTACTGATTTGATGGGTAATTTGGGTCTTTCTGGTTAGATCAATTCTCATCAATTCTCTGAATGAAGGAGGAACAGTAGAGCAGGAGTCTGGCCTTCCACCAACTGTTCAGATCCATATTTTCTTGCTCTACTCTCATGAACAAATGAGAGAGTGAACGCACCGTCATCTGATCATCAGAAATCCTCTGACTTTGACCACCTCAACATTCTGCCTCGCAAACTCAAGCACTGAACCTCTGCTACAGACAAATGTCCCATAGTGAAGCCAAAAGGAAACATGACGTTTTTGGGTTTTTTTTCAGACAGAAATAGAAAGACAGCCAACACAATCAGAATTACAGCTCAGACAAGTCAGTGTACATTTCACATTTTAATGAGGATATTTTTATAGATAAGTACCATATATCAGAGCAGTGCTGTGGAGTTTATTTCACTTCATAAAGACACCCACTGATGTGTCAACTCCCAACCACCTCAATGAGAAACCTAATTAAATTAATTATGCTAAAAGTCACACTTCTGCTGATGAGGCCAAGTATATAACACCGCATATGCCATTAAGAAAACCCTTAAAGAGGATTTATGAACCATTTCTCATGATCTTCTTGATACGGCCCATTTGTAAGCTCATCGAGATTATCAGCAGATTTAAGGTACACACTTTTAGACTCCAATGCATTTATTTCGTCTAACAGTATCTAAAGAGTTTTCAGTGTTAGTGTTAGTTTCTGACTGATTTATTGCTGCTTCATTTATTTCAATTAACATAATAGGGCATGATTGCAAAAGAGAAGATTGCATTCTTTCTTCATATGCTTCTGAGAAGTTTTTCGTTTTATATAATGTAGACTATATGTTCAGCTCTGAAACAAAATATTATTGTGCATTTTTTATGTAAATAATATTCTACCGCACGCATTATGATAGACCTATAGAAAAAAATATTTGAATCTTTTTCTTTTCTAAGAATGGCTTAACTTGAAGTGCTGTAAAAAAAATTTTGGAAAAAAATATTATTTTAAGGTACTTTATGATATGTTGCCATACGGCAACAGCATACAATAGTGGATCTAACTTAGAATAAGTGTAAGCTTACTTATAATTAATATTTTTCCTCAGAAATGTTGTTTGTGTTGATTCAATTGGTGCTATTATAAGCTTTAACACAGTACTTACTTATAATTGACACCTTATACATACTTTCCAACAACTTGTGCTTTTATTTATTCTATTCTTTTTTTGCTGAACAATGATTTATATTTGTTTTAATTTCATTACATTTTTCAAGAATATTATTTAAACTGCAAATGTATACAGTTAAAACAAATATAATACTGTATATAATGTATCATAAAACACTGACATAAAACCAAAAACATTGCAGTTCATGAAAATTCAGCATTATGCAATCTCTTGAGAGGAAGACTATGGACATCACCCATAAACTATTGTAATAATGTCATTCCACTATTGCACAGTGTTGCCACTTGGCAACACATACATTTGAATGATTTACCAAAAACGAATTTTATAAAAACTTTTTTGAGAGGTGAATATGTCATCATAACATCATAACAGTGACGTTTTAGATTTTTTTTGTAGAAGTGACACGGACTGGTCCTTGTTTGTTACTGACGTTTTAGTTTGCTTTCAGCAACTACCGACAAGAGACAGCAGTCTGTCAGAAATCTCGCCACAGAAAAAAAACTGCATGTCATGTGACTTAATCAAAGCACATCATTGGCTAAACTAAGGTCTTCTCTTTCCAACAAAAAAAACGAGAATGTTCTCTTAAAGAGACAGTGGCAAGAAAATGAACACAGAGTATGTTGCCATATGGCTACACCATGCGGTAGAGGGTTAAATAAAATGTGTATACTTTGTGACTGCTGCACAATTGTAAACCAATACACCCTTGATTGCTGCTTGTGTCTTCAAAAAAACTTCTCCAGACTAGTGTTGTTTGCAGCATTTTAGTATTGACACCAAATAAACAAAAAACACGTCCCGAAAGGCGAGTCGATTTTTGTCCCAGGAGAACTGGAGTTCCTAGATATAGTAGAACTTGGATTGAATTCTGATTCATGCAAATCAATCCTGAGACTCTTACCTGTCTGGTCCTCTCTCTCAGTGCCTGGTCCTCATAGTGTGGATGGTTTGTCAATACTCTCCCCGTGCACAGCTTAATTCCAGCCAACAGCTGCATGCTGCCTGCAAACACGGCCCGTTTGGGCGTCTTCAATCTGTCAAGAAAAAAAAAAAAAGGATAAAACATGCGCGAGCTCTGTTACATACACTTCTCAAGTTTCACTAATATTTCAGGACAGGCAATTGCACAAGGGGGCTGGGTGTGTAGTGGTGGCATTTATGAGAAAAGCCAAACCTGCAGACATTTATTTCAGGTGAAGGTAGAAATGTGAAATGGTTCAGTGAGGAGGGACGCAGTCATTTGTACACTCCCATCACCCATTTCTGAAACGCAGAAGGTTTGAAGTCTACTGCAGGCTTAAAAGGCACTCTGTCTGGATGAGAACTGTCTCCTGTCATTTTATATATGTGCATGGCATGGAGGAAAGTGCTGAAGCTGTATGTTATTTGAATAGCCTGACGGATGTTTCAGAGACCATCTGTTTATCAAAACATAACCTTTCAAAATCAGCTTCAACATTTTACACAACATTCTATTCCTGAGTATTAGTATCTACACCAGACAGAAGCCTCTGGGAGGAGAACACACATTCCGTAACTTTTGTTGTTGATGGTATTTTGGGGCAAATTTTGTATTGGTAAAAGCATCCAAATTTGCCAGATTCCAGCATGAGCAGATTGCGTGACATCCCCTCATCCACAAAAACCATCAACAAAACTGCACAAGTTAAAAGAAAAAAATGATCCAAAATACTAAAATATATTTGCAACTAGAATAATCATTTGTGCTCCCCACAATGTCTATTATGGAAATAAAGAGACATTTAAAAACCAAACGAACATTACGTCTGTTAGGGATCTGTACACTTTAAAACATAATTGAAAAAATAATTATGTAATTTCACAAATAAGTATTTAGTAATAGTTACCATGAAAAAAAAACCCTAATTAATAGTAAATCAAAACATAGTTCACAGTATTATCAATACATTTAACTTTTTAATTGTAGGGGCTTTTTTCCCCACAAAAAGCAATTTTGGAACGGTGTTGGGTCATCGTCACTTGATGTCTGACCCAACGTAATCTGGGTCCCGAAGCAAAACGAGTTAAAACAACCACTGATTAAAAAAGCAGCCTCAGGCACTCAAAACTCCCACCCCATGTCTGTTCAATTTGTTTAGGCAATAAAACGAAATATTGTCACAGACGTTTTTCTTCAAGGTCGGTTTCAGCTCAAGCCGGAAAAGACAAAGTGTCTGTGCTTGTGAAGGTTATAGAGGATATGATGGTTTAATCTCTGTCCAGTCTGGAATGAATTGGATTAAATATTGGATGCATTGAAGAAATGCATCCAATAGCAAGGTCAGGAGCAAGTGTGGTCAGTATGGGACAACCATGAACGTGGACCTTCACAGGACAACCTTGCTCCAAGTTCAATAACTGCCACACACACAGACAAAATCCAAAATTAACTCCACGAAGCCCCACATCGTGTACACACCCTGCTCCATCTCTGGTCAGCTCGTAAAGACATTAACAATGGGGACAGACTCACAAACACACACTCACATAGGGTGATTACTTTTCAATCTAAAGTTTACTAAAGCAATGAAGCAGCAAAGAAAGAAAGATGGCTCCAATTTCAGAGGGCTCAAAGAATGTGGCATGACCTTTACCTCAAAGACAAACTTAACGTCTGATCACATATACCTATGAATGCATCTATGAAAAAGATTGCAAGAGATGGAGGTTCTTCCAGTAACAGGGTTCAGGAGCAGCCCTTCTGATGCTAGAATGGAAAGTGGACTGGAAAATAAGGAAATATCAGACTACTGTGGAAAAACTTTGAAGAGAGGGCAGCCCTCAGAGTACAGTACACACTGTACTGCTAGATAGACAGACAGACAGTTACCAACATAAAATCCAAATGAATTTATTGAAAACATTCTAGTTTTCATCAGCATCTTTGTCTTGTCTTCCAACATAAATGTCTATAGAGATATTTCCAGATCTTGTTTTGTTCTAGTGTACTGATGTGTTGTCTAAACCTAGAGAGGTTCTGCTTCAAACAAGTGAACTACACTAAAGGCATAGCATTGAAACTGGATACATACATAATAAAATATGTATGTACTCATTTTAGGTTGAGGGCTGGATCGGAGAAAATGTCCCCTTGTGCGGGCTGAATTACCTTTTGTTAAACCCTAGTTTGCTCACAATTACATTAATATTAACCATACAAACTACAATATAATTTACAAAAAAATCTAGAAAAACTTTTTTCAAAGATGATGCTAGGTTATTTTAGGTGTGTGCAATATTGACACAAAATGTTTTTTTTTTTTTTGGCGGCAAGTCCCCATCTTAAAGGGTTAGTTCACCCAAAAAAATATCTTAAATTGTGTTCCGAAGATGAACGAAGGTCTTACGGGTTTCGAACAACACTAGGGTGAGTAATTAATGACAGACTTTTCATTTTTGGGTGAACTAACCATTTAATGAGTGATCCATTGACTCATTCATTCAAAAGAGTTATTCAAAACGGCTGATTAATTTAGAAACGAAGCTAGTGATTGTCGTCATGAATGGGCCACTGAATCATTGACTGAAATTATTTATTCAAAAACACAGATTCATTCAGTAGAAATACACAGTGCTGCTCTGAGAGACACAATTGGTTTACTCCAGCTTTGTTAAAAACCTTTTCTTGCCAAAACAGAGATAAACATTGTGACTAAAATGTAACACACTTAATACTAGCATCTTTTTTGTTGAACTGTTGTATAAAATCAATTAATTTGCAATTTAATCAAAAATATCTTAAATTGTGTTCCGAAGATGAACGAAGGTCTTACGGGTTTCGAACAACACTAGGGTGAGTAATTAATGACAGACTTTTCATTTTTGGGTGAACTAACCATTTAATGAGTGATCCATTGACTCATTCATTCAAAAGAGTTATTCAAAACGGCTGATTAATTTAGAAACGAAGCTAGTGATTGTCTTCATGAATGGGCCACTGAATCATTGACTGAAATTATTTATTCAAAAACACAGATTCATTCAGTAGAAATACACAGTGCTGCTCTGAGAGACACAATTGGTTTACTCCAGCTTTGTTAAAAACCTTTTCTTGCCAAAACAGAGATAAACATTGTGACTAAAATGTAACACACTTAATACTAGCATCTTTTTTGTTGAACTGTTGTATAAAATCAATTAATTTGCAATCACGCTGACATTCGGGAAAGCAACACTCTTGTTATAGTTAGATAACTCTCATGACATAAATATGAAAAACAAAAACTCTTACAGGACATTTTTGCCTCCATATCTTGAATTCTATTATAACTGTATTCTGATAGCCTTCATCAGGCACTGAAAAATTCCCATGATGTGGTTTTGTTTGTTTTGCAAAGTTACAAAATGTCAGCTCGCACATCATTAAAACAACAGTTACGATATTAGTACACGATAAATATCGCACACCCCTAGCGCATTTACTTTTTCCATGCTAAGCTGTCCAGTGCGTCGCAGTGTCGTTTAATATTGCACACATTTACCGCAGCCATGGGTTGTGATTAAACATACATGTCGGTGTTGAGATCACAGAACCTTTCTTTCCATTTCTCCTTAAATAGCCTATCCGCCCTTCCAGGTCAAAAGTCTTCTTTTGGACATGTTTAAAATCACAAGTAACTTGCCACACAAGCATCAGCTAACACAGCTATCATCATATTATCATCGTGCTGCTTGAGATTCTGGGACCGCTAAAAACGTGCATGTGTTAGGTGTCCCGAGGTGTAACATTAACGCAAATAAATGAGTAATTTGTTCCGCTTTAAATTACACTTTATTTAATTTTCAAAATAATGTTTTATTGATTATTTTACAGTATTGCTCAAATCATCCTGCGGGCCGGATTGGACACCTTTATGGGCCGTATTCGACCCGCGGACCTTATGTTTGACACTCCTATATTACAGTAAAGCTCAAATAGGATGCGTTTCTGATTGGTTTATGCATTTCTGTCGGCTGCATGAACATATAAAATCTCACATCATTAGCTTTAAATACGCAACTTTTGTTTTTTTTCCCACCTTGTTTTAACCGCTTTAGGTGCTACTAATGTTAGCCTCTCAGCCTTGCAAAAATATGGTTATTCTCCAATAAATTTGTTCCGCTTTAAATTACACTTTATTTAATTTTCAAAATAATGTTTTATTGATTATTTTACAGTATTGCTCAAATCATCCTGCGGGCCGGATTGGACACCTTTATGGGCCGTATTCGACCCGCGGACCTTATGTTTGACACTCCTATATTACAGTAAAGCTCAAATAGGATGCGTTTCTGATTGGTTTATGCATTTCTGTCGGCTGCATGAACATATAAAATCTCACATCATTAGCTTTAAATACGGCAACTTTTGTTTTTTTCCCACCTTGTTTTAACCGCTTTAGGTGCTACTAATGTTAGCCTCTCAGCCTTGCAAAAATATGGTTATTCTCCAATAATGCAGCATCTAGTCAACAAATTAATGGCTTTATAATGATATGAAAACAAACGTCAAAACAAACAGCATGTGTTGTCAGTGATTCCGCCTCTAGAGGCCATTCTGGTACTGTACAATGACAGCAGACCTTCAGCTGCCCCACCAAGGGACGCATCCCGGTAAAACTATCAGTATGGATTTTTGGCGATAACCGATTGTTCCAGTAATCGGCTATTGGTGCTGATTAACTGGCAAAACCGATGAATCAGTCGACCTCTAAATGGTACAATATTGCCCTCATTTTGAGGCAGTCGTTTGACAATACTGATAGGAACATCTTAAAATAGCATAAACGTATGTCTTTACGTTTCCCCAGTAGAAAAGGCATGTTTCCTCAAATAAAGCTCAATGTTCACCAACTATAAAAAATGCATATTCAGAAACTGTTTAAAATGTGATAGTATAATTTTACCTGAATAAGTTAATGTTAAATGTAAAGTTAAAGTAATGTGGATGCGAATTAATCCATCAAAATGTTAAAATGTATTGAATCAGGTTAACTGAAAATGCATAATTCTGTAATAAATAAATAAATTAGGG